AGAGGAATTCATTTGTATTTTTTCCTATATTCATAAAAACCAAAAGGTGAAAGAGCGGATTTATTGATGGAGTGTAATCCTATGTCAAGTTAACTGGTGGATTTAGTTTGGAAAAACTAATGCAGTCCTGAAAAGCATACTCCATGTTTTAGCAGTACTAGCAGCATTTAAGTTCACAAACGTGTGTACTTACTTGCTGCAAATGTGTATAGTGTGATGTATATTTTGTGTAATGCTTTTTAAGTTGAAATAATTGCTTTCATATTGTATAAACAATAGCTGCATTTAGCTGTTGTAGTTTTCAAAAATACTCAAGTCAATACTAGATTCATTTTTATCTCTAAATTGGTCCCTTTGATCTGACATTAATGTATAAGACCCAAATCGGAAGGCCTCACAAAAGGACGGAGTTAACATATGTTCGCTTTTTCATATATATATATATATATATATATATATATAGGCATTTACACAGTGATGTATGAATAAATGGCTATGTTTCTCAAACTTTACCCCTTAAATAAAGTTACCCTTGAGATACTATCTGCCATTGGAACTTTAAGTGGCACAGCAGTCAGCTGGCCTTGTGCATTTTAAAATTGAACCTAATGTCAGAAAACGAATCTGACTAACAAGAGAAGCTAGTTTCATAAGAATCCCATAGTAGATCAAGGCTGACATAACTTTCCGTGAGTTTGAAGAGGCGAGTGGAAGGGATTCGTAAAGTGGCCTCATCAGAAACCGAATTAGGGTTGCCTTGGCTGTTTACCTCTGTTTAACGTCCTGTGACCCTGATCCATCAATGCTGAGCTTTCATCTGTCATGTGACAGACATCGTCATAGCCAGAAACCATTATTTACGGGCATTCATCCAAAAAATATAAAGAGAGAAAGGTGGCTGGCAGAAATTCTAATTATTTCTTCTACCTGCTTTTGTAATCTTAATAGGGTATTCGATGATTTGGTTAGCTACTATGTCTTTATCCTACATGCATATAGAGTTAAGTTAAAGTGTAAAGGAAAGAGAATGTAGTCAAGGCTTCTCTAGATAAGAAAGCTTATGATCCTGTAATTATGGAGCTTGTTTTAGTTCCGTGGATGCGCGAGCGTTGTACACATGTAAGAGTATATGGTTAGTTGGTAATTTCGAGTCCCGAACCAGAGTCCAAATTAGTCAAGTCTTCTCAATTTATTTCTGTTTTTAAATACGGCTTCGAAACTACCGTTAAATCAGATATATGAGATGTGTTTACCCTATTTCGTTTTAAGCATTAAGGGGATTGGTATTTGAATTATCCCACAGTGATACAGAAGACCTTACGTTTCTATTTAATTCCAAATAGCCTTGCTTCCCAAATATATTCTCAATCAGGCTGGATCGTGGTTTCGACCTTGCCTAGGTCCCATCAGCACCCCTAGCGGGACTTGAACGATGACAGCGTAGCGCATAATCCCGAAGAGATAACCACTACGCCATATTGCTGCGAGTGCCCTTGGGTCACAGCAAAGCCTTGAATTTCAAGGAAGGTCAGACATTCTCCCATATCATAGAATGTGGTAGAATTTTTGATGAGACAGAATTGTATTTTCTATAGCTTTCTAGAATTCCAGTGGATCATATATATGAGGTGTTTTTCGTTTAAGTTTAGTTTAATTTTCCCACGAATGCCTTGTAGCCAAATGTCACTCTTGGCACTGTGGCGTAGTAGTTATCGCGTCGAGATTACTCCCTCAGTGAGGGTTGATAAGACCTAGGCGAGGTTAACATTGCATTCCATTCTGGATGAGGACACCCTTTAGAAAAGGAAGACAATGTGAAATTTAATGGAGCTATAGGGTTAACTCATATAATTGAGGATAACTTCAATTTCCAGTCACTTTTAAACCTTAAACGAAATAAGCTGAATATATCTCATCTATATGATATAGTGGTAATCTCGAGTAGATGGGGATTAATAAATAATGTTTCCTAAACACTTTTATATTCACTTATCATGTACTATTTCGCGGTGTTTAATTTGATGGTATCCATGTTGTAAAGTTATGTTTCGACTTGTTTTTGTATTGAACCAAGAGAGCCAAACTAGCCTCGAGGGATATAGGAGAAGGATTGATTTTGGCATTAAATCTATTTTGACCAAGTATCCCAAAACATAGCCCTCATTATGAAAAGAGATCATTTGCTATCTCACCTAGGTCTCATCAGCAGACTTTCTGGGATTCAAAATGGTGACATTTGGAATAAGAGGTATTTACTCAACACTTTACTACACTATCTTTTGGTTAAAATTCTGAATATCTGGCTTCTAATGATCTTTTACATTCCCAAATCATTTCCAATTTTCCTTTATTTAATTTGATGTTACCAGATAAATGTATTTTATGTCGAGTGTATTAATTTATTCATATCATTCTGTATTCGTTAATATTTACAGGCAAAAGACTTATTATCATTTGAGGCTCATTAATAGGGTATATGATATGAGATCAATGAATATCCACTGTATAATCATGTGTAGAAATTTTCTTGGTCCCTCCATAGACAGAACCAATTAAGCATTATTTTTGAGTATTTTGTTCATTGTTAAATAAGGCTTATAATAGTCAATTGATTGCCCTGCAAATAATGTATTACAACCAAGGATAGAAAGTAGTTTCTATCAGGTTTATGGCAGCGCTTCCAACAAAAAACAAACTTAGCACAAGTCGGCCTAGTGGTAAAGGCACTATCCCTAAATGTAAATTTATGTAACTAGCCTTTAGTGATACACAGTTGTCAAATATAATTGCTAAATTCCAATTCTTTGGCCCACTGATACGGAAGGTGAAATAACGAAAATAATCTGTAATATTAAATAAAGACGCTCTGCTTTTAAATCACCTGTCAATTGTACTAAAGTGGGCATATTCCCACTCTATCTCTAGCTATCTATCTATCTATCTCTCCATCCTTCTATCTCTGTTGCTTTCCGTACAAAATTACTAGGTAACCTCCCTTCCCCTTACCCTTCACTCCCTGAGCGGTATTCCAAATATCCTTTAGTTCGTTTGACATAAGGCTACAATTAGAACTTTTGGAACCTTGCCGAAATTCTTATTTCCTCTCAATAGCGGTAGCTTGAATAATAAACTCATCCCCCGTATTCCTGTCTATTAATTGTTAGGTCTCCCTACAAGTTCCTGTCTTTTATTCTCGTTTAACTATGCTTTGAAGCCATGGCTCTATTATTATCTCTGCCATCATCATTATCATTTCCCCTTATCTCTTCTTATTTCGCCTTAAATGTATTACCTTTACCAATATTTCCAGTTTAAGTCGCATAACCGATTTCGTAATCGCCGAATCAACAAATATTTTACCATAATTCACATCATCACCACAATTGCCATTATATCTGCTATAAACACCACCTCTAATCCTTTTCTACCAGGTGCCTCGGGGACCCTGGATCTCGAGCCATACGCCAACCCCGGAGTAACTCAACTAACCTGGTCAGCCAACGGACGACCTCTGGAGTTAGAGCCTGGCCTTACGCCTGAGGGTCATCGTGTGATTCAGCCTTCCAATAATGTATCCGGTGCCTTCCGTAGCGTTGTACACGGGGGGCGGCTTCTTGTTCTGCACAACATTCGTCGCCAGCAGACCGGCAAATATACGTTGGTGGCCAGAAATGCCAGAGGAGAAGCCCGGATCTCTTTCTTCCTAAACGTCACCTGTGAGTCATACTGAAACAGACAAAGTGGAAAGGTTTGCTAGAATATTATAATGAAGAGACGACGGCTATAGAGATTTGGTAATAGCCCTGAATTATCTGAATTTCGACGGTGATGACTTGATTGAAGACATCTTAGATTTCCACAATTAACCAATATTAGTACTCACCTTGACCTCGGTAAGGCCAGAAAGTCTTCTTGACTTAATGTCAACTTTAGATTTTTGCAAGAATGAGTTCCAAGTCTAATGCTTTACGTCATATGATGGACGAAGGAGGCCACCTCGTGGATTGCATCAACATAAACTTCGTATTAAAACCAAACGGCTACGGAACAATGGGCATCACTCGTTATCTTTTGATGGGATCAACCAACGAATCCCTTCATCATCCATTTTCATACGAAATGATATTCTTCATAAAAACTTATTTGAGCAAACAACCGCTTTTGTTTTTCTTTCATTTGTAGGTTTTGAGACGATCAGCAAATCCCTTATTTAGTTAACTTTACTGAAAAACAATTATTTGAGTTTTTCCCAGTCATATGTTTGGGCCTTATATCAAACGTAGCCTTGCTTTCCAAGAAGTATTTATGTGCAGGCTGGACTGAACTGCATTCGCGACTATACTTTGATTGCATCAACACCTCCGGCAGGACTCGAGCCAGTGTTGCTGAATATATCTTGATGAGAATACATCTTCGGAAGCTAGGCTGTCAAATTCACTGTGAATGTGAGGCTTACCCATCTGGTTGTCGGAAATCTCAACTACCCATCCATCATCGCCTCAAAATAAATAGGGTGAATACAGCTATTTCAACCCCTAATGATGTTGCTACTTTTCCGTTGATGGGATTTGCTTTTGAAATGTTAAGCTTGTCTCGAGGCCTGCCCTGAACCTATAGTCTATTGGGAGGTTGCTTGAATAGGAGGTAGAATAATATGCTGCACGGAGTTACGAAAAGTGGAGCCCAATTCACTTATCTTGAACTTCGCTTTGATACTTCACTTGGTTATTCCCATTTGCGAATCTGGTTTGGCAAGGCAGAATTCCTCACATTATTTGGTATTACCATCAGATTATACAACTCGATACACTCTTGCCTGAGAGGATCGTCCATCTTCTATTCCTATAAAACTCTATCTCTCTTTGAAATATTATCAGACCAAAGTTATTGTCTAGGCCACGTGTGATGCGAAAGAAATTAATTTAAGCGTATTATTGTGTTAACATTAATTTGCTATGCAATTTGAAATCGTATTTTTTCAACACCGAACTGCTGCCTACGATATTAGCCCAGACGAGATCATAAATCCAATTCCAATTGTCCATGATCTTCTTTGATGGGTCTTAGCTCAGCCCGTCAAGGATAACTTTGTTACCTTAAAGTTGTCTTTCATAGAAATCGCAAGACTTTCACTGATTAATCGGATTCCGAGGTGGATGGATCGCCTATCAAAATAGTGAATCTACTCAAGCACAATCTTCAGAACTATATCGACTTTCTATCGCGTTAATTTAAAGAAAGAAACTTTATAAATCCGACGGTCAATCCATAGCTGCTTTACTAAAGATGTAATGTAGTGTGATAAGTCTGGTCAAACTATGTAGACCTCTATCACTGTGCTATAGTATATTTATATTTGCACCTTTATATTCAGATGTCCCATCTGATAACTATAAAATTAAGTTGGCAACTTATGTGATGGCTTGATTTTCGCTTCATGTGTATGTCACTGTATCTCATTTCTATACTCTTGGGGCTGTCTGATATGATAGGTTAATTATCTTCTACAAACCTCCTAAAGATGTACTTCATTATTTGCTCAAGCACAACAATATCTCATCACTTGCACTGTGTTTTGCTTTCAAATGTTACAATTTTGGAAGCTCTCTTTTCTGTGGCCACTAGGCTCTTAGTCTGTGAGTGTAACTGGGATGTTATGTGCATAACTTACTCTTTAATATTGGTTAATTTAATTAAAGTGTCATGTTGTTACACGGTCCGCCTGAAACGGCCCCGCTTTTTACATCAACTGACAATTCGGCAGCCTCTTGACAGTCAGCTACTGGAAACAAAATATTTCATTTTAGACAATAAGGAGCCTTGAAAAGGATGGATGCTAAATGTTGAAGTGGCAGACTCACTTAAGATTATAGTATTCCAGGTTACTATATTTGAAGTGTTTGTACATATTCACTTTCGAGCTATGTTTTAGTTTCTATGTCATAAATAACTTCAGATTTTCTGCTATCTTGTCGTCTTATTCATATATCCCTTCACTTGCCTACTCCTACAGGAAAAGATTGGGCATTCTTCATTTAGGGAATCTTGAGCCATAAGATGATCCCAAAGAGAGTCTTTGTGTAATTATGTGCTCTTATGCTATTGTGCTTTGGTAGGAATGCATCCCTCATTGCTATTTCCCTCTTTATATTAACAGCATTAGTAATTACTGCGTAAGCAATAGGTCACCAGTCCCTCGTATCTGTCATAGCCTCATCCCTCCGATCAAACTGGTAGTTTGGAGCCCCGATGTTAAGGCTATGAATGGGAAAAATGCAAATCTATGAATTTGGTCGTTAATTATGTATTATGCCGGTTTGTGAAACAATCGTCCAAAAGCAACACACCTTCTTCGTTTTGTATCCACTCCAAGACTGCAGGCAGTACTACTGTCAACACGACTCTTCGGGCCCCTTTACACTTTCGGCATACTTGACTTGCCGAGTGGCCTAGTCCAGCTATGCATGAACATAGTCGGGCACATACACACACGCAAAACGACATCTCTGCTGAAGTGTAGGTCTGTGTAACATGAGAAACAGTCGTACACGCGACTAGGTCACATATTCACAGAAAATGAGACACTCGAATCTGCAGTCATTCTACGTACATGCCCTCATAGCGGGTTTCGGAGCCTGTTCCCCACATCATTTGGCAACTTGACCCAGCGGCGGCCAAGTGACCCGGATACCAAGCACGGGTCGTGGACTCGGCTGGCCCATTTTCTCGGCTTACCCAGTTAGTTAATTTTTTCAGGCCTGGACTGTAGGCAGAAAGACACCCCTCAAGTCGGGCCCTCTGCCTACTTCGGGCCTTTTCATTTAGTTTGTCTGACCGTCTCTTTGTACAAAGTGGAGCTGCAAAGAACGTTCTTTTTTTCCGGCCTTTTGCCACCTGACTTAACTATTGGAGCTTAATTAGCTTTTGGTAATGCCCATAGGCGAAGTAACCATGCCATTATATTCTGCAAAGCTAGTTTCTACTGCAGGGAAAACGTTTTGATGCTCCTCCTCCTCCTCACCATCGAGACAGCAAAGTAGACTTTGCCTTAAAGGGAAAATAGACGTAACGCATTATACATAATGATGAGCCTTCAAAAATACATATTCTTGAATGAGTTTAGCCATTTAGCAAAACTGAGAGTAAATGGCTAAGACAGCATAATTTAAACTGGCAAAAGATTTGATTACGTCCTTAGATTATTGTCTTATGTGAAGAAGGTAAGATCTCCTTCGTCTCGGTAGCCTCGGCATAGCAGCTTCTCAACCTGGCCGAATAAAGACTATGAATTATTCGGTAAAATCTGAAGCCATACAAAAACTTGATGGAACTTATTGCCGTAAAGTTCCGAAATCCGGTATTCGTACCTAAATTGAGTTTACCTTGATGCAAAAGTCTCGACTAATATAGTGTATTTTTCGTATGTAAGTAGCGCTTCAAGACTACCAGTAAATCAGTAATATGAGATGTATTCACCATATTTCGTTTAAGGTGAAGAAGGACTGGTAGTAGAATTTCCCCACAATGATATGAGTAGAGCTGACG